CAGAAGGAATGAACACATTATAAATCGACTATACTTCAATCAAATTAAAAAAAAAGAGAGAAATAAGTGTGGAGCTGACTCAGGAATTGCTGCTCCTGCCAGGTTTACACTGGCCTTAGGGGTTCTGAGTTTGCCACGAGGAAGAAGAGGAAAGGGGTCAGGGGCTGGGGTTTTGCACCCCTTCCACCCTACTCCTTCCCTCTTGGCTCCTGGGTTTTCTGGGCTGTGTCTGCTTCAGCCCATAGGGCTGACCCCTCTCTGAGCTGGGTGTTCTGGGTACCGACTCAGCCTGGCCGACCAGGCAGGCCAGAGGACCCAAACCCAGGGCAGACTACGAGGCCCCACTTCCGTACCCAGGCAGCACAGATCCCCCTCTTACCTTTGTTTGCCACTGTGCCATGTGCTTTTCTCCACCGCTAAGTCTACAACAAATGTCGCTGTCATCCATGTGCACAACTGCCTTGGCCAATCAGCTGTGAGCTCCCTGAAACAGGGCACTGTTTCATTACCTTTTGTGTATCTGGTGCCGAGTACAGGGTCTGGCCCATGGAAGGTGCCAGGGACACAGCTTCCTTTTTTCTCTGTTGGGATGGGCATAGTAGAGTACCCTGTGGGCCTGGACCAGGGCTGGTCTGGGCAATGGCAAGCACTCAGAGCAACTCAGGAAGGCAGGCAGTGTCTCTTCCACTTTCTTCTTACAATTTGAAATATTAAATACACACACACACACACACACACACACACACACACACACACACACAGACACGCATGCACGCACACATGCACATAATGGCAGGAGAAGGGAGGTGGGCAAGAGCCATTTCTATCTTTCTTTATTCCATAAGCCATTAGGTAGGGTAAGGGTTAGGCTCTGACTTCTTTCTTTGTTTTGGAATGTTTGGTAAATGTTGTCAATTACCTCAAGCCATTTGTTGAATTTTTCATCCTTTCTCTGTTGATTTGAAATTTTTGTCCTCTCTCATCTCAAAATTTTCAGAATCTAAATGGTCGGAGACCACTTAGGCAACTTCCTTGATGCAATTACTTAATTAACAAATGGAGATAGCAATATCTTCCCTACCCACATATCTCATAGGAATGATGTCAAGCTGACACAAGAGAATAGGTGTGAACATCTTGGGAAAAGTTAAGACCCTTTGCTTATATATTGACCAAACAACAAGAACAACAAAGATGACTCCTGTTTCTCAAGACTGTGAAGGTACCATTCATCTGAAAAGTCATTAGGATTCACTGGGAAAAATCCCAAACTCACAGGTCATGTAGATGTGACATAAATGTCAACAGTCTGCATGTTAGATTTGAGTTGGGGTTTCAGTCCAAGGGAAGAGCCCAGGTAGGGAAGAAAGTGAGCGAGCAGGCACCTGTGGATGGATGGTGTGTCAGTCTGGGCACCATTTGGCCCTGTGGATTTCAAGACAACACAAATGCCACTCGTTAGACTGTGAGCTCCTTGAGAGCAAATGGTCTGAGCCCAATTCTCCCTCAGATCTAGATTTATAGCAAGTGTCCAATACATGCCTATTAAATTGAATTTAAATGAATTTTTTTCCTTGGGGACTCACTGGGAAATCAGAGGAAAGTGTGGGAGGGGAAATATCTCTTCTCTTCCATCCCTGCTCCAGAATATTCCCTAATGTTCATATTCAGCTGCAAAAGAAAGAAAGTCTGACTCACCATGGCTTAAAAAGGAAAGGGATATTAGTTTTTGGTCTTCCGTGACAAGAAGTTCAGAGGCAGGCAGTCCAAGGCTAGTACAACACTCCAGTGTCATCCAGGACCCACCTATTCTGCCTTCCTGCTTTTCTATGAATTGTTGTAGGATGTCAGGGAGGAGGGACGTGGGTAGAGTCTAAAGGTCCAAAGGCATGTCAGCCCAGGAGATCCTAATAATTTTTCTGGAAAGCTCCTTCTATGAGTTTCACCACTTTAGCTGCAGACGACTCCAGGCAGACAAGAATTGTGAACAGATTTTGGAGGGTGCGGTCTACAATGCACAAGAGCTTATAAGGAATCACCTCGCAGCTAACCTCATGCTCAGCAAAACGGCAGCCTTCTTGGTATAACTGTCCTGTATCTTGCAACAATTCTGCCGCTCAGACCCAAGAGTGGGGAACAGACTGGGAGCCCTGTGGGGCTGCACTGGAGTCACAAAGAGAAGGCTGTGGAATCTGAGCTTGCTGGACTCAGGGTTCAGCCAGCTTGCCTGTCAACAGGGCCACCACAAGCGTGGCAGGCAGGTCAGTGATGCAGGCAGAGAAGGTGGGAAGGTGCCCACCCAGGACAAGGGAGCTGACCGTCTCAATGAAGAATCCCTTGGGGGCTTGGCTCCTGTGTGCTCATCTGTAATCATTATTTTAAGGCTGATAGTGGGAGTTTCATTTCTTCTTCTTCAGGACATCTAGAACGTACAATAGTTTCCCCAGCTTGAAATTTCTAGTATTCCCTTGAATAACCTTCCTCAGCTCCCTGGACCGAGGCTTCCTCAGGGGCTTTGCTGCAACAGGCCTGGTCAGGAGCACAGAGTGTGGCATCACACCCCCCAAGTGGGGCCGGGTGGGACCCCAAGGGACAGGGTTCTGTCTTTGAATTTGGCCTTGTGGTTGAGGTGCTTCAGAATAAAGTCCTGGTGGGTCAGAGCTTTAAAAGGAGCCCGAGTTGGGGCTGGCCCCTAGGCCGAATCAAGCAAGGGTTATGCAAACTGGAGTGGGTGCCCTTCCGAGGACTGTGGCCAGCAGATGCTGCAAACCACAGCGGAAGGGCTGATCTTTGGACAGCCAATGTGGAATTCCCCTTTGTACAACGGTGGCGCCATATCAAGCAATTTGGATTTTCCTTAGGGGACGGACACTGTGCTCTGTAACTTCTCATACGAGAGATTTGGCTACAGGGGCCAGGACACCAGGTGTTGGAGTCCTTGCCACCCAGAGGATACAGCTGTCTCTGCTC